CACCACCTCCTGCTTTTCGTTTATCTCTCAGAAGTCCTGGGTCTCCCATCTACGTCAGAAGTGAGCTCCCTGGTCACTCCTACCCCACGTGGCATCGTCTGCCTCCCCCTATAGGATTAAGAAACTCTGAGGGATTGAGGGCCTCGTCTTGTTCTTGTTCAGATGCCCAGGAAGGCTAGGTTGAACTCGTCCAATCCTCACCTTAGCCCTGCTCCCCATCGTGGTGGAGACGCACCCGGCCCCAGGCTCCCTGATGACAGTACCAAAGCATCCACTTCTACAAGTGACACCCTGAGGCCACCTGAAGTGGGAGCACCTGCACCCCAGACCTGAGCCCCTCTGCGTGGAGAGGAGCTAGCTGGACTTTCCCTTCATCCATGGTGTCCATGGGTCAGATATCTTTAATTTAGTTAAAAAAAATTAGTAGGTGGAGTTTCTAGTTCAGAAGGAGTGCACGCTTAGCATGCACAAGGTCCTGGGTTCAACCACCAGTACCTCTGCTAAAACAAACAGACAGACAAACAAACCTAGTTACCTCCCCCACAGATAAATAAATTTAAGAATGAAGAATAATAATTTGTACCCCAAGGCCACCACAAGATGCAGCTGTGCAGAGGACTCCCACTGAACTGGATTCAAATCCCAGTCAGGACACTGTGTGATCTGGGGGAGCAACACCCCTTGCTAAGAGGGGGGTGTGTGGTGAGACCCTTACCCCTGAAAGGGAAACCCATGTCTGGGACATCTAAAACTGAACACAAAGACAAGCTTTTCTTTATACCAAGAGGGGACCACAGTGTGCATTGGGTTGTCACAAGGCTCTATGACCCCAAAGAAGCCACCAGGTCGCCCTGAGTCCCCTGTCACCATTCTGAGTGCAAGGGCAGCGCAGACCCCCAGGGGCCTGCCCACTACCCCACTAGGGCCTGGATAACGCGGCCACTGCCAGTCCCCTGGAATTTTCCAGAGCCAACTCTCAGCTCACAAACAATTCCTGCTTGGTGATTTTCCCAGGTCCCTGAAGCTCAGGAATGGTAGGTCGGCTCAGCCCGGTGGTAGCCCCCCACATTCCCATGGTCAGGACAGTCAGCATAAAACCGGGACCGAGAAACGGTACAACTTACCGAGATGGTAAACAAGGTGTTATCGAAGGACATGTCTGGAACAGAAACAGAGAAAGCCAGGCCAGGGGCCAGTTCAGATTTCCTGCTCACTGCCCTCCCCACACACCCACAGGACCCAAGTCCACCCTGAGGAAGGGCGTGCGGTCCATCACCCAACATCCTCTTTGGCCCCTTCCAGCCCATTCTGCAGGGTGAACCATGCACAACTACAGACTGAACCTCTTCTGATCAGAACTCTCCTTCCAGGGCCTCTGGCTGCCCTCTGGAAAACGGGTGACTCGTCTCAACTCTCGTTTTCCGGAACACCCCTCAACTCCTCTGCCACCCTGGGCTCTCCCCCTAATCTCCCACTCGTCACCCAGCTACTCCCTGCTGCCCTGTCAGCCTCTGATCAAACATCACTTCCCCCGGGGGACCACCCTCCTAGCCCAGACAGGGTCCAACCCCTGTGGGGTATGAGCTTGTGGACAGAAACCACCTCTGTCTTGGTTATTGTTGGAGCCCGCAGATCTCAGCACATAGTAGGTGCTCAAGAAATGTGTGGGGCAGTGAAAGAAGTACAGAGAATGGAGTTTTTTCTGCGGGGGGGATTTCACAGGGTGGTGGCCTCTCACCCCCTGGTGGCAGCCGGCAGAACTTCAGCTTCTGCACCACAAGATGGTGCCAGGCACCCAGGTGCCCCGGGGCGTGGACAAGACAGATGCAGTTCGCCCCACCATGGAGCTGATGGTCCAGTGGTGGAGACGAGCATTACACATATAAGCATGCAATGAGTACTTAATTGTGTTTCTACGGAAGAAACTGTGGTGCTGGGGGCATGGAATTAGAAAGAGCAGACCCTGCCTAGGGAGTCAGGGAAGGCTTTCTGGAGGAGGTGACATTTAGACTGAGACCGCAGGGAAGAAGAGTGTTCTAGGCAGAGGGCAGAGTGAGTGAAAGGCCTGAGGATGGGGCGAGGAGAAGTGAGAGGTGAAAGCTGGTCAGTAACCAGGAGAGGAGGGGAAGAGGGAAGAGGGCAAGGGTGTGTTCTCTACTCTAAGGGAAGTGAGCAGCTGAAGAAGAGATTCAATAGCGAGCAATGAGACCTGATGGTGTTTTGAGGCAATGACCCCCTGGCAGGGGACGGTAACGGGGAGGCACACACCTGTGGTGGCGAAGTTAATCTGGGTCCAGCAGGATTCTCGCTCTCTGCAGAGGCATTTGGGAGAAGGTGATGACTTGTCTCAGGCAGGAGTTTTGTTCTGGGAAGCCCTAGGCCCAAACTTGGCCCTTCCTCCCCACCGACCCCTGCATCCTCTTGGAATCCCCTCAGATGGAAATTCTCTTACAGGAGCCCCACCACTAGGTGAAGTCAGGATTTGATCCCCAGGGTTGCTGGTTCTCAGCCACCAGGCAGCGCACTGTCCACCCCTCTCTCAGAGCGGAGAAACCGAGGCCGGGGCCAGTTGATGGATGCCCAGGAACCAGGGCCACTGCCTACAGGCTACACTGCACAACCCCAGGGGCACCACTCACCTCCCCCTGGTCCCCCACCACCTGTGGATTTCTAGCCAGATTACCCAACACTTTTTGACAGCTGGCAGTAAAGAGATGTAAGGAAGTCTCAGCCTCATCTGTAAAATGGGACTATTCACAGCGCCTGCTTCCAGATCTGCTGATAGGATCCTGTGAGCTCTGGGTCCAGAGTCTCCGAGCACAGTGCCCGGCACACTGCGGGCGCTGCATAAATGGCACCCTGTTGCTATTAAGAATCACTCCCACCAAAGGACGCTGTTCGGGGGAGGTTTCCATTCCCCTCCAGGGGAAGTACCTGTCTGTCCCCTCCTATCCCCAGAACCCCATCAGCTCTATCTTTAACATCCATCAGGAACTCCTGCCTTGGGACTGAGTTTTCTTTCCCCCAAACCGCCCTCTGAGGGTCTCCAGGGATGGTCTCACCGTTTCTTCTGCAATTGTTTTACTTTAACTGGGAACAAAAAATAAAAAAAATAAAAAGCATTTGTTAGATTTTGGTCCTCGTTGCAAAAAGCCAAGAAACCAAAAAGCCCCCGGTACACATTCAGCCCAGCCTTGCCTTCTCCCCTGGCAAATTTCCCACTCAACAGGAGAGCTGCTGAAGACATTTTTTTTCCCAATTGCATGAGTAATGTGTGTTGGTAAAAACTTCAAACAAGGTACAAGCATGTTAAAAAAATTTTTTTTTAAATACTGATTTCAGTAAGTGCCAGGGGCTGAGGGGAGGGAGAATGGGGAATCAGTGTTTAATGGGGACAGAGTTACAGCTTGGGAAGATGAAAACAGATGGTTGCACAAAGTAAATGTCCTTAATGGCACTGAACTGGACCCTTAAAAAGGATTAAAATGGTAAATTTTATATCATGTATATTTTGCCACAATAAAAATATTTATATTATATATTATAATATATATTTGTTATTACATATATAAGTATATATTTCATAATTATACATTATATATAATATTATGTATTATATAATATATTTATTTATGTTATAATATAAATATACATATACATGTACATATACGTACTATATTTAAATTTGCCCTGCCACCACCATCATAGAAATTATGGAGGGTTCTTCAGTGCTAAGTTTTTGGATTAAGAACTCCCAACTGTGTGCCCGCATGCTCCTAAAAATGGTTGTGGGTGGGAGAGCATTTCCACATCCCGGAGGGCTATGCCTGCTGGTACCTTTCCTGACGACCACGGCAACAACCACCAGCCCAGCGAGGAGGAGGAAGGCTCCAGCCAGGCTCAGCGAGAGTGCCAGGATCCAGGTGGGCACTAGAGGAAGATGAGAAAAAGAGAGTGGGCAGCTCATGGAGTTGTGGGGACCCAGGGAGAAGGTGGGACATCCATCATTCCTCCAGGCTACCTTTGGAGAGCCAGCCCTCCCCCTCTACCCCCTGACCATTTTGCTTTGGTGTAGCTAGACCCTGGGGATGCAGCAAACCTGTGTCTGGCCAATTAGCATATTCTCTCCCCCTGGCCATCGTGATTGGCTCAGGGAAAGGCAGGTTGCCCCAGCTGAGCCAATGAAGCTAATTCTGGGCCTTCGGCTAGACCACTGGGAAGAGAAGTCTACTCCTCAGGCCAGTATTACAAATCTGGTAGGATATATACCTGGAGCTCCAAGGTACAATTTTGACACTATGAGAGGGAGGGCCTGCCTGAGAATAAGACAGAGAAGAAAGCAGAGCTGAGAAGTAGCACGTGATTCCTGACATCTTTGAGCACCTGGATCCAGCCATGCCTGAAGTGGGTGCTGTGAACCGACTTCAGTTCAGTGAACCAATGAATCCCCTTTTGTGGCTGAGGCCAGCCTGAGTCAAGTTTTCAGTTACTTGCAACCTGAAGAGTCCTACTAGCTTCAGCCTGGGGAACAGGGGGTCAGACAACACCCAGCCGCAGCCACAGGGTGGGCCCTGGCACCCACACAGAGGTCAGCCGCAGAAGCATGAATCTTCAGTTCCAGAGTTTGCATCTCTGCAAAAGATTCAGCTGCCCCTCCCTAGAGAAAGGGGGGATCTTTCAGGGGAACTGGGAGGAGACACTGTGACCTGAGCAGAGGTCAGGACTAGCCAGGAGGGGAGGACAAGCTCACACTGGGTGTTCTCTGTGTTAGCCCTTGTTCATTCATTCATCTGGGGCAGGAGGGATGTCGTCACCTCCCCACTCTGAGACCACAGGACCAAGGTGAGAGAAGGGGGCCCTTGATTGTGGAACCTGAGGCTGGGGATGACACAGAAACTGTTCTGTCATCACCACCTGTGGGCCTCCGCAGGCAACAAGGTTGTCTTTGCAGCAGGAAAGTTCTGACTGATGGTGACACAAAGGCTCCTACCTCCCTCCTGCTCCTGGATCCAGAGCTCAGGCCCAGCCCCTCTCCTGGAAAGACCAGAGGAAGTCATGGGCCCTTCCAGGGCTTCTGTATCACTCAGACGAAAAGCCAGGGTCCTTGCTGCAGCCACAAGGTCCCGCACAATCCTCCTCACCACCTCCCTGCCCTTGTCTTCCCACCTCTCCTCCTTGCTCACTATGCTTCAGCTGTGTGGTGTGCTTCCTTGTCCCTCAAACACACCAGGCATACTCCAGCCTCAGGGCCTTTGCACAGCCAGCGCCTGGAACACTCCTACTCCAGGACCTTCCATTCTCATCCTTCAGGTCTTTGCTCAAACGTCGCCTCCTCAGAAAGGACTTCTCTGGCCACTCTCCTCTCTATTTAAAAACGACACCCTTCTCAGGCTGTATTTCATCTCTGCCACTTTCCTTGTCCTCAGCTGGCAGACTGAATAATTACCAAACTCCTTATTTATTGTCTGCCCCTATTCCCTTGGAATGTCAACTCTGAAACGGGAGGGACTTTGTTTCATTCACTGCTGAGCCTGTGGGGCCCAGGAGGGTGCCTGGTGCCTAGCAGGGGCTCAGAGATGTTCGGTGGCCAGGAAGGGAGGGTGCAGCAAGTCCTGGAGGTTTAATGCGGGACTTCAGAGTCCAGGGGAATCCCAGCCCTGCCACCTGCGACTAGGTGAGCCGGGCAAGTCTCATCATCGTTTGTGCCTCAGTTTCCTTATCTGGAAAATGGGGAGAATCACTGTACCCATTGCATGGGGTGACTGTGTGGATTAAACAAGGAAAGTGAGTAAGTCTTGGCAAGTTGGGAGCCTGGCTTGTTCTGTGCTGACTTCCAGGTGGAGAGAATAGCACCTACGAAGACTCAGCGGTGAGAAGATTGAGACTTACCTGGGAAAGAGACGTGCACAGGCTCGCTGAGGTTCGACAGCTGGGGCTGCCTGTGCTCGCCGAGCACACCATACTGGCAGCGGAATGGTCCCCTTGGAGCCTCCCTGCTGCCGCCACTCAGGTTGAAGGTGACCCCGAGCTGGTCTGAGGGGGCCTGCAGGAGCTGCACCACCTGCTCCCCTTGGTACAGTGTGAAATTTGCCCCCCGGAAGTCCCCAGGGGCCATGCACGATATGTGGATGGGGTCCTCTTGGCTACTGGGGTGGGGAGGCACCAGGAGGATGGACGGCGCTGGGATCGCCAAAGAGCCTGCAAAGCAAAATGAGGGAGGCTGGTGAGTGGGTGGTTAGAGCAGAAGCCACCCTGGCTGTGTAGCCTTGGGCAAGTGGCTCACCCTATCTGGGCCCTGGTTTTTATGTACAACAGGAGGCTAGTTGTCCCTACCCTACCGTGATGTGGAGGGGATCAAGTGTGAGGCCTCTGTGAGAGGTGAGATCGCTGCCTCTGAGTCATTTTATTATAATAGCCATGGGTATTACACAGTGACACATATACTCGTATTACTATGATCGAGAGCACTGACTACGTGTCAGGCCCTGTTTAGGTGTGGGGAACACAGCTGTGGATGAGATAGACAGACAAGACATGCCTGCTCCAGGGGAGCTGATGTTCTCAAGAGGAAACAAGGGTGCTGGGAAGGCTGGGTTAGCCGGGGTGGCCACACAGGGCTTCCCTGGAGAGACAGCACAGGAAGAGATGGGGTTGAGCATTCCAGGCAGAGGGACCATCTGGACAAAGGCTGGAGGTTGGAAGGGGTGTAGGGTGTTCAAAGAGGCTTAGAAGGGGGTGAATGAGGGGGAGGGGAGGGCAGAGGGGTTCTGTCTTGTTTCCCAGGCTGTGGTGAGGAATAGGATTCGGGGGTACGGCTTCCTGCAGGAGGAACCAGTGTCTCCCCAGCTGGTGAGGTCTACACCAGCCTTCCTTTGCCCAGCTTCCCCCGACCCCCCAGCAGATCCTCCTGCTGCCCCAGCCCTGGAGATAGAAGTCTGCAGAAGCCAAGCGGGGCTGAGTCATGGGGCGTGGGTACCGCTGTCTCGGGTCGGGTGGCCTATCTGATACCCTGAATGTGTGGGTAATGAGGCCGGACAAGAGAAACCCGTGCTCCGGGGGCATTTCCAAGGCTCTGGGGCAAATCTGTCGGGGCTCAGCCTCTCCAGCACCTGGTTTCTGTCCCCTACCCCCTGCCCCCCAGCACAGGCAAGGTGGGCAGGGGTTGGGGGGACAGGGTAGGGGTAGTGCAGGGGCATCAGGCTCACCAGCTGCAAAGAGCAAGACGGTCCAGGGCATCTCTCCTCCCGCGTTTGGCCGGGAAATCAGGCTGAGGCCAGCGCGGCCTGCGGCTCGCTGCCAGCTCCTCCTGGGAGGCCAGAGCAAGGAAAGGAGAACCAGGGCTGATTTGAGCCTACTGTTTCCTCACTGGCAGGAAGTTGCACACACACACCCGAGCACTGAAAGGGACTCTTTCCCCTCCCAACCCCTTCCACAGACACACATCAGACCCTGGCACCTCGCAGCCCCTTTAGGGGCCGAGGCTCTGCAGTTGGGAGGGGAAAATGGACTAGGCTGGTCGGGTGTGTGTTTATGTTCGTTCTTCCCCTGAGAGAACTCCTGGGAAGTACGAGGATTGCGGGTTGTTTGGGAAACCCAGGTCCAAGACACCAAATGTGGCCCAACCACTGCTGAAAGTTGAAACGTGGGCTGGAAGTTGGTAGGGCAGGATGGTTAGGGCTTGGTCTCTGACCTCAGGCAAGATCCGGTCCTTCTTTGAAGCCTCAGCTTGCTGCTCTGCAGAATGGTGCTAAGACTAGTGGACGTTAGCTTCAGAGATCTTGTGGCACCAAGTGCAATGCCTAGTGAAGCCACAGGAAAGAAAAGCCTCAGGAACTTCATCAGCCGGATGAAAAGAAACACTAGCTCCAGAACTGAGGAAATGACACAGTTTACGGCATAAATTGCCTCCTCTGCATAGCCCAGAAACTTCCAAAGGTCTGTCTTACCAGATTTGCTTTGGTCTCTAAACATTTCTGTTTCAAGTCCAGCAGGTCCACCTGGAGGTTTACACCCAGGAAGGATGTAAGCAAGTCTGGGTACACAAAGCTCATTTCAACCTCAGGGCGTTTGCACATGCCACTCCCGCCCCTGTCTGGAACACAATTCTATCAACCTGGTAAAATCCCACTTCTCCTTCAGGTCTCTGTTTAAATATCATTTTTGGGAAATCTTTCCAGATAATCTGGACTTAGAAAAATCCCCTTAACTATAACCCATT